CCAGGATGACATGAAATAAATACTTTCTTCCTGTTTATATTCTGATGCTAACACCTCCTATGTTTCTGAGATGCTTGTACAGCACAGCAACTGCTGAAGCCTGGAATCTGGAGGCAAGCTGCTAAAATCAATCTTCAGAAATAATCAAAATATAAAATGAACTTCATATCAATAAGCATTTTTCCTGTTATGAAACATGTCTGGGTCCATTCAAATGCAGGATGCCAGGGACAGACCTGAAAGCTATTTCATGGCTGTGGTTTCAATTCTGCAGCAGCTACTGTGATGGAATTTTATCCTACTGTGCTAGAGTCTATGGCTAACACAGAAGGAAAGACAATACAGTATTTAATTTTCTCTCTCCTCCACTGCAATTCTTTTTCTATTACACACAAATAATAGAAGGCCAGAAGGATGAGAAATAAAGCAACAAGTCTGAAGACTGATTTATAATCACAGATTATAGCAATAAACTCAAGCAGCAGAATACCCTACCGCCACATTTACAGGACTTCAGGCATAAACCAGAAAGAATGGTAATAATCATGACATGACATCAGGGATGTAGGTGAAATGATTAGAAAATTAGAAGAATAATGTCATGCTTTTTATAAAAAAATAAATTTAAAATTTATCTCCAACATGCAATGTATTTTTCCTACCACCTGAATACCCCATGGAACCAATACAAACTTTTGCTATACTGATAACAAATGTGGTCTGTCATATCTTTCCAATTATAACCAACACTTTTTTTGTTAACAAATATAAACATTTTCGTAGTTGTAAGGAACTATGTAACCATCCATAGCCTTTACAATTAAAAAAATGGAAAAAAATACTAAACCAAAATCCTACCATCTTCTAGTTGCATTTTGATTCAGCACTTAATATGACTCAGTAACCTAGGAAGACCCCCTGAAAGACAGAACTAATCCTTCACTAATTATCAAGCTTCCAATTTATACTATGGTAGCAGTATACAAAATAAAGTTAGACTTTTTCTTTTTTTAAAAAAAAATCTTTTAGGCAAACAGCCTTACTTTAGGCGTATTATTCTAACTCTGTGGAAAATCCTCTTTGGCTTTCACGCATACATGGTAGGCATGTTATAGGTAGTATGCTATAAACTGCTGTATAACTGATATGTAGATATATAGATATCCCAGATACAAATTTTGTTTCCCACTGCTTTATCACTCTGCACTGATTTAGAGTAGTAACACTTCAACAGAGACCACAATAGATTCTGCAGATCTAATTTACCTTCAATGGCTCTACCAGCTAACGAAGGAGACTCCTCAGATATCTAAATTGTGCCAAAATAAATTGTGTGAGTGCATCTTTTCTTATCTTTCATCTTCTGACACTTAGGTTATCAGAATGAATGTGTGCTATTTGAGAAGAGGGATATATTTAGCAAGGAAGCAGGCATCTGACAGTTGATAAACCATTAGGGTGGCAGGGTTGCATTCAGTTTATGAAACTGGCTTTATTTGGAATAAGAAAAGCAGAAAAAAATGTCCAATATCCTTTAAGAGAATTTTTTGTTTCAATAATTTTCCCATTAAAAAAATAAGTAAGTGTTCTGATAACCAAGTAAGTAGAAAAACATAAACCATGAAAGCCAAGCTAATCCTGAACCAAAAGGACTCCTGTCCTGAAAGCTGGTCATTGCAGATGGACCATTCTAACCACACAATGTTTCACTTGATTTGCAAATGGCCAGCATCAGGGGATCCGACTGCAGAACTGGTACATTCAGACTAACAAAACTGTAGGGACATCCCTGCAGGCCTTTCGTTTGTTCATAGGGCATTTCTCATCACAAAACTATTTTGCACTGGTAAAACAGTACCCATCTGAACTTTGAAATAGTGTAGCAGATAACTATATTACTGTTTTCTGACAAAACACCAAATATACGTCTCCTTGTTCTATATTCAAAATACACAAAGAAATTATATGGCAATCAACATGACTATAAGTCAGGTAAGTATGAAGGAAACATAACAGAAGGAATAATTTTGCTAAGAGGAAAAAAATCCAGAAAAAGTGCAGAACCTTCAGGAATGTTTAAGGAATAGTTATTATTTTCTTTCCCATAGGTTTCTGACAGTAGAATTAGAAGAAGAAGTAACATCTATGTACTGAGTTTCTGATGCACAAAAAGAGGACTAGTTCTGTCAAGTCTTTGGGCAATGGCTTAAATGGTTTTCTAAATGTCGTCTCCTAGGAATTAAAAAAAAAAAAAAGAAGATAAGAAAAAAGAAAAGAAAACTGAATGAATGACATTCTGTGTAATCAGGAACTAGCACACTTCACTCCCAGAAAGTCTATTCAAATTTGTTTAAAAAAATTCCACTAAACCCACCACTTAACAGTGACTATATTTTTGTGGTTTACTATAAATAATATCAAAGAAAATTAAAATTGGGTAATGAGATTTATTTTTTGTGACATGACAGTGTTTCTGATAACATATTCACAGAAAGCATTAAAAAGATGCCTCTTCTTAACAGATTGTGCATTTTTTAGATTCTTTTCTACCACTTCTTGTCCCTCTTACCTAATAATTAAAAACTAATTTTACTGTAACATTGGATGAGTTTTTGAAGATTGATCAGATTTAGTCCTTCCTTTTATTTTTTCTTTTTTTTTTTTCAGAAACTCATTTTATACTTGGCATAGATACTCTATAATAAATGAATGTCCTTTTCCTGTTTAGAGTAAGTTTTTAAAAGTAATTGTAAAAAATTTTATACTAAAATACTTTTTCTGGAAAAAAATATTAAAATGAGATTTGGCACTCTGAGACCTAAAACTTATGTTCCAGTGGAAGTTTTAAATTAGTTCACAAATGACAGCAATTTATTAGACTGAAGAATATAAAGTTAAAAAATATTTCTGGTAAGATTCAATCTATTCCTTCAACTTTCTGAACATTTCAATGCAAAACTTATAATAGCTGCTATAAAATTATTCTTCTTCACACTGCCTGGAAAAACTTAATTATATCCTAAGAAAATATAGCTGTTATTTATTTAAAAAGTTAATTTCTTTAAATACCATTATACCTGAGGGAATAGAGTAAGTAAACATGGCTGAATATAGCTGGGGAAAATTTGATTCAATCCCTCCCTAAAGGGGCGCAGTTCATATGTGAGGTTTTGTTGGTGTCTCTGCAACTAAAAAGACTCTTCTTCTTAGGTTTGGGGGGTTTTTGGGCGGAGGGAGCAGTGAAGGGCAGTGTGAAGTGCTAATGAAATCTATCATTTTTACCATAATTGGCTGTCAAGACAAAACAGCAGGCAAAAAGGCTAAGACATAAAAAGAAAAACAAAGGAGCTGTATAACAATATACAATCTCATCCACATTGAGAGATACTGTACTTGGAATAACTGGGAACAGAGATGTCTGAGTCCCTGCAGGGTCTGGTTTATAGCTGCTGCTGACTGAAAGTTTTACCAAAGATCCAGTCATGCTATGAATGCAATGGGATAACCCGTAATTGCACATTATCTTACTGAAACCTTCAGTCAAATTAACTGTAAAAAGAAAGCACAGTTCATATTGTACAGGCAACTAGATTCTAGTATAGTCTTGCCATATGATTGGTTTTATACTTACAGATCCTAATTTAGCTTCAATTGCACTGTGATACAAAACACAGGCTTCTTCAACAATTAACAAGGACACCAAAATTTGAGCCTGCACTCAATGTCTATACATAGATATTTCCACCTTGATCCAATTTGTGACATGTATGACAACCTTAGTTTTGATACTTCAACATGTTTTGAGGTTAACTGGTATCTAAGACAACTTAAATTAACATGGGGACAGACTCTGACAAGCTACTGCACAGTGGCACAAATAATGTCAACTTTCTGCATGCTCTGGCTGCAAGGAGGTACCTAAAAGCACTCCCTCCACTCAGCGCTGAAATACACATTTCTTTAAAACTCTGATTTCCTTATCTAGCCACGTTGCAGCACCAGTACACTACTTAAGAAAGCATATTCCAGTAGGTTCCTTGCTTGCTGCATATATATATATATATGTATATGTTTGTTGAAGACCATTCTCTGTGAAATGGGGTCTGCTCATCTCTCTTGGTGAAGGAGTATGGTTCTGCAACACTCCTGAACAATGATGTGCCATTAACTTCTGACTGACGTGTCAAATATAATTAAGTAATGAAGAAGTTTTAGGGCCATGCTCCTATTGCCCATTTTACTCTTCTAAAAACTAGAAGCAATGTCAATTAAAAAAAATTACTATGAGTTTGCGCTGGTGTGATTGAAACACTGGTTTTAATGTGTTGAATGTGTAGAATGAGGTTATTACTATATGTAACCAGTTCTTAAGCCATAGTCAACATGTTTTGTACTTGACTGTGAAATAATACAAATTATAAATAAACTGAAATGGTAACTGACATATGTAGTAAGAATATCTAAGATGTACAGCACTGGAGCTGGAGACATTAGTGTACCTATTAGTTATAAACTATAGTTATAACTAATATATATATACACCTATATCTATACACACATATATATACACATATACCTAGCTATATACCCATTAGTTATAACTTATCACCAAAAATAAATGATGAAGGGAAATAGGAGGTATTTTCAGATCACATTCCAGCTACTCCTCAACTGCTAAAACAGCCACTTAAAAGGTCACTGCAATTTGCAACACTGGCGGTTCCCTTAAGACCACTCTGAGTTGCTAATTCAAAAGACATCCATGCTTACAAATCTGGTAACTGAGGAACTGTACAGTGTCATCACTTGGCAACAGAAAACAGGTAATGAGCAAGGCAACAATATTAATTTTTAAGATAAAATAAAACTGGAAGCTCTGAAGGTATAAGAAATACATGACTGTGTTTCTTTTTCAAGTCTTTAAAATTTAATGCTTTTTTCAGCTACTGACATAAAATCACAAGCCTCCCTCACCTCACAGGTATTTGTTTAGGACTTACCGTCACTCCAAAGAAGTTGGTTTCATTCATAGCATCTAGAAAAATTTTGCCAAGTTTGTGATTTGTATAGTTAAAATCTTCAATTTTTTGGTGCTTGTTGGTGGCATTCAGATACTTCATTGCTCGCTGCAGAGTCTTGGCAATCACCCATATTCCGTCATAGGCATAACCATGAAATTTGCTGGATTGCCCATCACCACGCTTAGCATTATATTCCTTTTCATATTGCTGTGGAGTCTGCAGAGGAGAAAAACCACAGTTTTACTTCAATACTTAACTTTTTATAGATTTGTGTCCAAGCATAAAATTCAAATTGCACCCTCCAATTTAGAGACATGCATGATTAATACAGAAAAGGCCGCCAAAACAAAAATTAAGAAAGAAAGTAAAATTCAAAAAATATGTGCTGTCTGACCTACAAGACTGATGGTGAGACCTAGGAGATAGAGACTGAAAAGCAGTTGTCTGCTTCTCTGTATGAAAGACAACTTGCTTTATTTTCCCTTTGTGCAAAAGGCTTCAGTTCAATCAAAGCTACCAGCATACTGGTGAGCCATAATACTAGAAAAGAGAATAAATCTGTACCCCAGCAAATCAGTGGTCTGGTTACACTTTATAGGATAATGCAAATCAAATAGTCTTGACTTGAACAACTATTTGCTTACTGTGAAGTTTTCTGAGTGGCAGTTTATCTATGTTTTACAAGTTTACTATGCTTTTTATGGTGTGCTATCTTATGATGAGTTGCCTTTTTATAAAGTTGTCTTCTGTGCTCACTCAGCAAGGCATAAAAGACAGATGAAAAAAGATGAAAAGCAGCAAGATCAGGGATGTTTATTCATTGGCCAGAGTGTGTATGAACTTGTTCTGTGATTAAATGTTGTGTACTTTATGGAAATAACACAATATTTACATATTTAAAACAAGCCCTACCCCCTACCTCTGAGAGTCAAATTTCACCAATGAAATTAGTCATTTGCAGGATTAGGTTTAAACATAAAAGTTTTCTGGTTTTCTGCTCAACAATTTAACTTGATGTGATGCAGCACATGATTCTGCAGACTATAATTCAAGCTTTACTGTATATTTAACTGTGATGTTCAGACAGGCAGAAAAGAAGAGATTTAAGGCAAGGAACTTCACAGCTTCCTTACTCTGTAGAGAACTGGAGTTGATTTCCAAATATTGGACAATTGCAAACCGGTGGAAAGATGATGATTGCCAGCCCTCATTATAGAAGAACCCTTTAGGTTCACCTCCCTCCTTGGTGCTTTGCTGTGTCAAGACACAAGTAAAACAACTGATGATATATTAAATGGTTGGAGGAAAAATACTAACCCTTCCTGATATGGTTTTTAACCTTTTTGAGCTGAGAGGCTCAAAATCCACTCCAATATAACCTTCCATGGCTGTGAGAAGATTTTTGCTGAGACATTGTGTGGAATTAATCCAGGATTCCCACCAAAGGTTTTCATACCACCCTGGAATAATCCACTGGTATTTGCTGCCATACATTTCTTCATCATAAGCCTACAAAGAAAGAAAAATAGAAAAGCTAATAGACATTGCAATATACATATTGAACATAAAAGCAACAGTTTTCTGTTCATGTTTTTTCCATTATTAATGAAATTATAGTGTAACTGAAGAATACACAAGTATTTTGAGCGGTTTGGAACAATTACTTGATAATAATGATGACTCCTTTCTTGAAGATTTCTGTCTTTGAAATTCATGTCAATAAAACCTATTTTGCTTTCAACAGACCATTTATTCAAAAATAGAAAAATAAAATACTGGATTCTAAAACCAGGGGAGATAAAGAGGAACACTGACAGAAGACACAGTGCTTGCATAGAAAACTCTCCATAACACAACTATTATATGACTGGTAGGACTACCATTCTACCCATTGAAACTAAATTATTATCATCCTAATATCATCCTAAAGACCAGATAAAATGAGATAAGTTTAAAAAAGAAAAACTGGGCCCTAGGCACCATCAAATCACAATGTTGCAAATATGAATGGTGTGACTGTGCTGAAACAGAGACCACAGGGACTTAAAGTAAGCAGTTTCTTCTGAGGAGCATGAATCAACAGTAAATAGCAAGCAAGCTTCAGTGATTTCTAGTCTTTTTTCTTTCTTTTTTTGGTTTGTTTGTTTTTTGTTTGTTTGCTTGTTTTTGTTTTTGTCTTCTTTTTCTTCAGCAAGAAATTTCTCCAGGTCAAATTCTATATTGTCTGAATACTGAATACTGCCCATTATAGTCCAAAATACCGAGATAGTGGTTTTCTTCTTTCAAGACATAGCAGATATATATAACAGGAAACAGAAATACTTTATTAGTCAGGCACATATGCTGTTGTGCCTAAAAGATGATCTATTCAAAATAGATATTCTATTCCATTGTGAAGAGTGTTCCAGGATAAAATTAGCAAATTTTATTTCAGATGTTTCCCTCACTGTCTTGTAACTACATATTTTTCTTTTGACATTTCAGTCAGACTCCATTTCAAAACAGCAGGTTTCATGCTTCTTTGGTTTCTAATATAAGCAATACTGGGGATGCAAGACATACTTATAAGATAAAAATTCCAACTTTTAGAAATACATGGTGCAACCTTAGAGCTCTTAACTGGAAAACTGCTACATCTTCATAGAAAATGTTACAGAAGGAGGAAATTTTGAGAATGCAAACAGAACATATTAGTCATTCAGAACCATTTTGAAAATTATCCCAAGGTTCATACCAAAAGCCTATCAGATAAATAAAATAAATAGCAAAAAATAGGACATGGGACAGCCTCTTAAATATGTTAATACTCAAATTAAAATTGAGCTTTATGAGCTTTAATATGTGAAGGCTATTATAATGGTGCCAACTCAGTTCATAAATGTATTGTGCACAAAGGAGATTTGTTTGGCCCCTGGTGGCAGGAGCTTTTGTTCAGCCAAAATCAAATTTCATATACAATGCTGCTTGAAACTATTCCTGTCTGAAACCCAGTGTCTTTTATCTCATACCTTACTTATTTCACAATTAACATAAATTGTTTGTCTTTCTCTTGCTCATTAATTCTGTTCCAGAAACACATCTGCTTTTGCCCTCCTGCACATCTCTACTGCCACAGATATGGCAACAATGCATCCCAGGTCCATCTGTGAGGAAAACAGCAATCCTATCCTGCAATACTTCCTGATGTCTAAAAGACTTTCCATTACACAATTAGGTCATTCAAGATCTGTCAGTGATAGAGTGTCTTTTATTTGACAGTTTCCAAATCACTGAGGGCACAAATTGACACAGACAGTGCTTTTAGAGAAGGCCAATCTTCTGTAGCTTCCCTTGGTCAAATTGTGGGTTGCAAGAAAGTATTGGATGTGAACTATTCAGAAACTGGAGCTGTTTTAAATTTACTTGATCTTGTTTCCTGTAAAACCTGTAAATGTCCTCAGATATTGGCTGAAAATGGAAAGTTTCAAAGTAGAAGAAATTTCATCCTGGTAACACAGGATTATTCCCAGCAAGGTTGCACTGAAACTTCCACATTCCTGCAAGGATTTTATTTAAAAAAAACAAAACAAAACAAAACAAAGAACCCAACAAATACTTTAAGAGCTGGCAGTTCTTCATTTAAGGTCTGGTGGAATGATAGGGCTTGAAGGGTAGTCTAGAGAAAGGCAAAAGAAAGCACGAAACCAGCTCCTTCAAAGCTGAGCACCATGACTGACCATGCAATCATTTTTCTAGTGACAGCACGGTTGTTAGTGTTCAGGAATTTTAGTGTTTGAGTTCTAGAAGATTTATTTCAAAATAATGCCTTTTGTCACAATTCCCTCCCTGTTGATTCTGCTAAATGGAGATGATTTTGATGCTTAAAAGATACATTTCCTTAAAACACATGGATCTTTCTTGAACTGTCTGGTTGCATATAGGCCACTTCTTACAGGTTTTAGTTTCCAAGGGGAAGATTTGTTGGCACACAAGAGCAGGGCAAAGAAGGTTTACAAGTGCTTTGTACCACCAGAACAATATAAAGTAGTCATATGTACTCCCTAATCTTTCCCACATGCCCTGTCTAGGCTGCAAAGCCCGGAGTTGCTGTCAAGCAGCCAAGAAACTGTCCTGGACATTTTATGCCCTTGTGAGACTGATTTTCTTTTACTTTTTTTTAAACTTTTCGTTCTTGTTTGAATCCATAAAGAGACGCTTGTTTACAACAAAGAAATTTCTGTAAGAGATCTTTCTATGTGTAGTAAACAGTTACTGGCAATTTGTGTAAATGCACCTGCAAAGCTTTACCTCATTGAACTTCCATCATCTTTCTATCATGTCAACATGGAGGTAGCCTATATCCCAACACCATAAGAATGCTTGTAGACTTCTAAATTGCAATGAACCTCCAGCTTTTTCTCATTAAAAATCAATACTGCCTTTGATTCCAAACCAGAGACTCAGCAGTAAAACTCTTATCAGTTCAAGGAGAACCAAGAACAGTCCTTTTGTATCAACCGTGCTTATTAAGCCTGGCTTTAGTTATTATTAAATGTTTACTAAAAGAGCCACCTAAAGCTCATGCAATGACTTATACATAATATTAATCTTCTTTGTCTTCAGACGGATAATTGTATCACCTAGGCATTAGTCTTCATGTGTGCATGGCTATACTTCATTATCGTTATGGCTTAAAGATAATACGTTGGAAAAATTCCCACTAATAAATTTTTTAAAATAAAATTTTCTGCAGAACTGAAGTTTTCATTAGTAAGATGCAATTTCATGTCAAACCAATTAAAATTGAAAAAAAAAGTCTATCCCACACAGCTGACCATTCTGATTGTTGAAGTGTTAAGTTTTGAGCAAAATACCCTAATTCCTATTCCATGAAAAATATCAGATTCACCCCACTGAGGTGAAAACAGCATTAGAAAGATAAGATTTCCCATAGAATTAAAATTGCTAACCGCTTTTGACACTAGTGGTAAATTAATAGCTAAGCTTATTTACATCATCATAGGAAACACCTGCTAACATTCACTTTGGCTTGAAATAGTTCTGTCATATTTTTAAAGTTTGCCACTGAATTAGACTACTGTAGTCCATTTGCCTTTGTGTTTTCTGCACCTTGTGCGTGTGTATTTGCGTGTGATCACAGGGGAAGGGGAGGAAATAGCCACGAAAAACGAAAATGAGTGTATAAACTCCAATGGATGTTCTGAGGAAACCTCATTGAATCCAGACAGAAAATGGAGGCAGGCTTTAAGAACTTTCCCATGTACATAAATGATTAGCAAATAATATTCAGGATATAGTGACAATCATAAAAAAATGCCAAACATCTTGCACTAACACAGTAACACCTTCCTTTAACAAACCCAAAGCCTTTCTCTGGCTGACATCAGCCACCTTTCAAAATATAACAGGGAATCATAAGTGAAACCTGTCTGAAGATACACCTGGGCAAGAAGGTTTAAAAAGTTGACATATCCAAATTATTGTGCTCTTAGACACATATCTGTAGGAGTGCATGAACCACCAATATATATTATGACTAATAACAAGCTTACTGACATATTGAAGGGCATTAATATATAAATGACCTACTTTGAACTGCCCTCTCTTGCATTCAG